CTTGTGAATACAGTGATTAGTACATAACCTGAATACTTTTTTAAAAAATTGTTTTTCACATTATGTACTTCCATACAGTATAACTTTCATAACTTTTAGTTTTGAAATTCCTTGGCCTGTGTCATACAGAAGGTTCAGCCTAAACATTCATTAACCTTCTTTGCATTCCAGTCTATAATCTACTAGACACATATTAAATTAGGACAAAACTAACTCTTGAGTCTTATGAAAGCCAATACTGAATTTTGCTCTTTTATCTAGGTGCTTTGGGTTTCCCCCCCCCTATGCTGGTGCTGAGCTGACGGGCTGATGGCCCAGAACAGGCATAGGGTGTAATGGAGATGCAGCACACACTCCATCAGCCAGGGGGATATTCTTTTATGATATTCTCAGTCCAGTTCTGAGATCTTAGCTCCTGGATGCAACAACTAGAGGGCAGATAAGAATGGGGGAAGGTGACTTTGTCACACCTTCATGCTAAGTTACTTCACATTCAGATTCAATCACCTTCTCAGGCAGGTGTGTATGTCCCCTAAATACTGAGATGGTGCTTACTGGCCTAAAAGAGTCAGAGGGTTTTACATAAATCCTTCTGGCAGGTTCTCCCACTTATGTCCTCACCGTCCCTCTATAAGGTTTCTTGTGGATTTTGAGTCAAGTGACAGGGGGAGCTGAACCTCATGCGCCTGCAGATGTGAGCCCTCCGCTGCTGCTGATGTCTGCAAAAATTGCATAGGCTGCAGCAAAAGAGTCAAGCGTATTCCTGTGGCTTCTTGTGGATATGACAGACAGAGCTGGAGACACACAGGGGCACAGCTGGCAGGAGGGTGAAGGCTGCCAGCAGAGCTGAAGGGCCAGGAGCCGCATCTCAGGCACCTTCTGTGCCCAGGTAGCCCCAGAGGCTGACAGCTGGCAGCTGGCTCTGAAAATTGGGCTTTGACAGCTTTCCTCATCTTCTTGCTTAGAAAAGGGGGGGTCAAATAGAGCATGTTCAAGAGGTCTCCTGGTAATGAGTGAAACTCATTTTGGCTCTGAGCAACCCGTATACCTCAGGACTGCATTTGTATTTCTTTCTGACATACCTGGAGCTGGGGAAGTTACAGCATCACAGGCCATTCCCTGCAGCCGTTCTCCTCCAGTTACGTGTCAGAAGCTTTTCAGCCTATCTGTCAGATTATAAAAAAATCTCCAGACCCTCATTTGCTTATATTCAGTTCTATCCTGCAGCATTTCTTGTGTTCCTGAACATTTTCTTTCAGTTTGCTAGTGGCAAGCCACTTCATATTATTAAGTACACGCCTGCAGGAAACTATTAAATTATGCATATGTTTACTTACATTCTTTGTTTACATTACATTTGGAGATCAAGACAGCAAATAGGAGTTCTTGGCGATGACTCAGTCCATTCAACTTCTCTATTGTGTCCTAGCTGGAAGGGTACACAATGAGCTGTTCTCTCCACTGAGCATAAGAAACCCACACTGTCAGGGGCAACAAAAAATTTTCTTGTGTTGGTTGAGAAAGGTTTCCTAAAAGCAAACTTTTCAGTCTCTTTATCCTATATTTGAATGACTGTGTTAGGATTTTATCAGGACAAGTTGGTATCAAAGCATGAGGCCAAATTAAGACAACCATTGGTGTTCTTGTGGAGGGGGCATTTTTCTGCACTCGATGATATGAACCACTGCAGATTAAATAATAGACTGGATAAAAGAAATTATCCTTTTAGTAAAATACAGGTTAAATTAACCACAACACTTGATGTGAGAGTAAAGCCACAGAAGAACTACCGTATTTAGGAATTACATCAACAACATTCTTACAAGTGATGCTGGTAGCAATAGCCACTGAATCCACATAAAATTTGATCCTGAGATCAGGTGCCCATTTTTATCTTTATATTTGCTTCCAAAATATAATTTAATGTGAGAGATATCTTTGGAAACCCAAAAGTGGAAATGTTAAATGTGTACAGCTAAGACTAAATATATCATCTGTAGTTCATTTTTATCTTCTTTGTTGTCTTTTAATATTCCTCTATACTATTTTAAAATGTACAACTAAGGAAAGATTACCAGGCAAGGTGTAATTTTTTTCCTACTTTTCCTGGAGCTTTAGGGACATATCCACTGCCAATTTGCATTACAGGCTTCCACATATGGTATACTTAACACACTGATTTTGAAGATTTCAGAAACCACTTGCAGATGAATCCCCCCTTACATTAATCAAAATACTGACAAAGTAGAACCCTGGGCTCCAGCTGTTAGCTGCAGAAGCAACTAAAGCAGAAAGAACTTCCTTGGAAGAGGATAAAGCTTAGCCACAGCAGGGCCGCCCGATCACTCTGAACTGTCCAGGAAAAAACTCCAGTTTTAGTGTCAAGCAGCACACCAGGTGGTATGTCTGTTAACTCATTTTCCTAAACAATGCGTGGCATTGTGAAAAAAAACAGCAAGCCAAGAATTGCTGGTAAGAGCACCTGTGAAAGTTATGAAAATAAATAAAAAAAAAAAAGACTGACGTATGTCAGCTTCCCAGACTTTTAAATTCAATTTCACACATAGCTGCTTTTTACCACCCCCTCCACTGTGCTTCCTTACTCACCCTCACTTTTGTTGCCTTTTATAACATTTATAAACATTTATAACATTTATTACTTACATACCACCGCTACTAGAGTGGAGGTGTGTGGGAGACCTTTGCTGCCATCACATTGTTCATGGTGCCTCTCTGTTAAACCCTTTCCCCCTATCTTGTGTGTCTCTTCTTTCTTTAGATGATAAATCTCTGGAACACAGGATGCTTCTTCCCCTGTGTTGGTACAGCTTTTAGTTTAACTTGGTTTTAGGCATTATTGTCACAAATATAATAATTAACAGTGCAAGGCAAGCCATATGTTCAAAGGAGTTTGAAAGAAGCCAACACCCAGTTTCAAACAATGTTCAAAATTGTGCACGCCCTCAATCAAATGCATCTTCGACTTCAATCATCAAATACAATCTTTACCTAACACTTAACAGGTTAATTTACTGTGCCAACAAAATGCCACACTCACATGTAGTGTTGCTGTTTGTGGATCTAAAGAAGTAATTTTTTAACATGGGCACATATAGTTCTTGAACAGTGCAACAGTGTAATTGAAAAAGAGAATCTATGAACAAGGTTTAATCTGGTTAGACTTTGCAGGATGGAGAAAATACTAGTTACCGGGTAACGCTAGTTACTAGATAACCGGGATAGTAATTTGTCCCTCCAGAATGCAATTTTCACATCTTTTATTTCTTTGTAGTCATCAATCAAAAGGTGATTTGTAATTACAATTTCTGAACTGCAAGCAGCCTAGACTCAACTTGTCAGACTGAGTTTTGCCCTCTTCTCCATGTTTCAAGTATTCCTTTTATAGAGCAATTGCTCCAAATAATTGCCACTGCTATCATATTTGGCACCAAAATAAAGTTGATGTGGTACTAGTGACAAAATCTTTTAAAGGTATTTAGCAGTTACTTTCAGTATGTTTGACTTTTAGAACTTGTCTTAAGCCTGATTGTTAAAGGTTTAAAATATTAATAATACTGAGATATTGCCCAAATAAGCTTTTATAAAAATACCCCCTTATGTAATCTTTAGCATTTGTTTTTGATGAAAGTTACAGTAATATTTTTTACAGCAAGCTTTTTCTTTTAATGGCAAATAAACTTCACTGCGGGAATCACAAGCAGGTACCTATTTTGCTCATGTTTAAGGCCAAATAAAGCAAGCCTTAAATATTCATGTACATCATGTTATCCACTGTTCATCTGACAATAGCAATCCAGGGTGATTTATTGTAAATGGGAAGGATGATGATGTGCCATCATCATAGAGCATATGCCATGCTGTATGTGCCATGCTGTATGTGTTTGGACAGCAACAGGAAATGCTATTTGTCAGAGAATAGCTCTTTGTTCAAGAAATAAATAGGTTTGAGGTAAATATGGAGCAAGAGAGAGGTTGATTTACACTCACGATGAGGTTCTAGTTTAGTTTTTTAGGCTAGAACAATGCATTCTCACAGTCACTGGAAAAGGCTGAAGGGCCTGGAAGACAAATCATATGAAGAGTGGCTGAAGGAGCTGGGGCTGTTTAGTATGAGGAAGAGGAGGCTGAGGGGAGACCTCATCACTCTCTACAACTACGTGAAAGGACACTGTAGAGAGGTTGGTGCTGGTCTCTTCTCACGGGTAATTAATGACAGAACAAGAGGGAACGGCTTCAAGCTCCAACAGGGTAGGTTTAGACTGAACATTAGGAAAGAATTTTTCACAGAAAGAGTGATCGGGCATTGGAACAGGCTGCCCAGGGAGGTGGTGGAGTCACCATCCCTGGATGTGTTTAAGGGCCGTTTAGATGCAGTGCTAAGGGACATGGTGTAGGGGAGGACTTTGTAGAGTAGGGTAGATGGTTGGACTCGATGATCCCAAGGGTCTCTTCCAACCTCAATGATTCTATGATTCTTTAATTCTATGATCTATGCAAGTAAAAGCAAGAACAGTCAAAAATGTTGACCATTGACTGATCTTTAACAAAGAGCAGTTGATTTCAAGAGCTCTGTACATCACTATTGCATCAGTAAGAAACTTGACCCATATCATGCACAGAAAAGAACCCACTAAGCTGCTGTAGCGCAGCTTTTGCTTAAGCTACAGCATTCCTGATCAGAAAAAAATGCATTGCTTCTCCAATACTTGCAAAGTAATGTGTATTCTCATGGTCATTCACTCTTGTTCATGTATGTCAGATCTTCTCAAACAGAACTCTTACAAATATCAGTTTCATCTCATCGAAACTCATCCTGTTAATATGAGCTGTCAATATCTAGCTGAACCCGTGATGTAAAAATAAACGCTCTTGCTCCTCTCCCTCAGCTGGGGTCAGCGCGGCCTCCTCAGGGGGACGCGGGTGTGGGCGGAGCCGGCGGGGCGCGGGGCGGGGCGGGGGCGGTGCCGGGGGGATGAGGTCATCACCAGGCGCCGCGGGCCGGGGCCGGAGGGCGGCGGGGGGCTCGACCGGCAGGTAAAGCCTCCGCCGCGGCGGGGCTGGAACGGGAGGGTGCTGGTAGAGACCGCTTGATCCGCCCGCCTCCCCGTCACCGTGTGGCACCGCGGCGGCGATCCTTGTCAGTGGTTGCTGTAAGCGTTCCTTCCCCACCGCGGCCTCCCCCAGCCCTGGGCCTCTGGCCTGGGAGTCCCAGGAGGCCTGAGGGGGAGCCAGGTGCCCTGTGAGGGGCCGCTCTGCAGGGACCGCGGGCTGCGCCTTCCCACCTCCGCCTCGGTGCCGGGAGCTTCTGGGAGTTAGTTACTGTTCTTGTCTTTCCTTGTAAAGGGAACTGCAGCAGCTGGAGGGTAGTCAGCAGTGGAGCTGTCAGAATGGCAAACAGTAGGGGATCTGCAGCCAGGAATACCTGCTGTCTTTTTTCACACCAGTTCTGCAGCTTGAATTGGTGCCCTTCTTGTAGGAATATGATTTGAAGTTTAATTTCCTGAAAGAACTCTTCTCTTTCTCCTGAAAGACTCCCTTTCCTCCTGTACTCGGCACTGGTGAGGCCCCACCTTGAGTACTGTGGCCAGTTTTGGGCTCCCTACCATAAAAAAGACATCGAGGTGCTGGAGCGGGTCCAGGGAAGGGCAACAAAGCTGGTGAGGGATCTGGAGAGTAAGTCTTATGAGGAGAGGCTGAGGGACCTGGGGTTATTCAGCCTGGAGAAGAGGAGGCTGAGGGGAGACCTTATTGCTCTCTACAACTACCTGAAAGGAGGGTGTAGAGAGGTGGGGGGTGGCCTCTTCTCCCAAGTCACAGGAGACAGGACTAGAGGAAATGGCCTCAAGTTACGCCAGGGGAGGTTCAGGATGGATATTAGGAAACACTTTTTCACCGAAAGGGTTATCAGACATTGGAATGTGCTGCCCAGGGAGGCGGTTGAGGCACCATCCCTGGAGGTGTTCAAAAGACAGGTTGATGTAGTGCTGGGAGATATGGTTTAGTGCTGGTGTTGCTTTTTGTTTGTTGGGAGGGGGTGTATTTTTGTTAAAATTAGGATGACGGTTGGACAAGATGATCTTTAAGGTCCCTTCCAACCTAGAAGATTCTGTGATTCTGTGACTGAGGGACTTGGGTCTTTTTAGCCTGGGGAAGAGAAGACTGAGGGGGCATGTGATCAACACCTATAAATACTTAAAGGGTGGGTGTGAAGAAGATGGGGCCAGTCTTTTTTCAGTGGTGCCCAGTGACAGGACAAGAGGAAATGGGCACAAACTTCAACATAAGACATTCCACCTAAACATGAAGAGGAACTTCTTTACTCTGAGGGTGGCAGAGCCCTGGAACAGGCTGCCCAGAGAGGTAGTGGAGTCTACATCTGGAGACATTCAAAACCTGCCTGGACACATTCCTGCGCTAGGTGGACTTACTTTGGCAGGGGAGTTGGACTAGATAACCTCCAGAGGTCCTGTCCAACCCCATATCATGCTATGAATCTCAAAGCTTATTAACAAGCTTTTTTCCTCCTTGGTCTCTTTAACACTTGGAAACATATAGATGAAACTCATATCTCAATAAGTGGCATTTTGTAATTAATCGGAGGATTTCAGCTTAGTTGTGTCTCAAGTCCTTCATCAGTTAATGCCTAGTTTTACAAAGGTCAAGTGGAGTGACTGAGGTGGCTTGCCAATGTCAACATTGGAAAGAGAAGACTGCTTTTCTGATACTGCCTTAAGGAAATAGTTCTTGCACATTGTAGGTGGTATTTATAAATGACAGCTGCATTGAGTTAAAAACAGTCTTTCTGTTTCAGCATGGATTTGACTTGGACGCTTCTGTGTGTGAATATCTTCTCACTTGCATGCTCCATCTCCTGAAAATCAAACACACACATGCACCCCTTCCTTGTGTGTATTGAGTAGAAATAAAATCCATGATAATTTTGCACCTCTTTAATGCTGTTCAGCATCTCCACAGACTCACTGAGGTTGAAGGGGACCATCTAGTCCAATGCCTCAGCTTAAGCAGAGTTAAGTATAATAGGTTGCCCAAGATCATGTCCACCTTGAAATCATACTGTAATATAAAAAATTGAAAATCCATCCTTATACAAACAGGTTTTCTGTAAACATCATTATTGTAGATTTGTGGGCAGAGACTTGTAAAATGTTTAGCTGCAGGTATTTGGGCTCTACTTAGTGACTTTAGGTATTTGGTCATTACTGTAATACAAGGAACTGCCAATGGACTAAAGAGGGTTTATGGGTGTGTGAGCCGATGCAGGCAGAATGCAGGAACAACCACAAAACCACATATTAAGGGCAAGAACAAATTTAATCTCAATACCTCATGGATCAGGGAACTTCTGAAGCAGCACCTGAGCAGAGGCAGGCAAGCAGGGGATGCAGGCACCGCGGAGCAAGGGAGAGTCCTTATTAGCAAGAGTGTCCTTGTTAGCGAGGGAGTGAGAGAGCGCACGCTTGCTGTTTGGGCCTGTATTTCAAGGATTCTGGCAGGCAGAGTTTTCTGCTGTGCTTTGATCTCTTCAACAGCAGGGCAGGAATCTCAGGCGTATTCGATAAGATACCCCTGAGTCCATCCCAGGCCTATGTTATCTGAGTGCAGATGTTCTACTTGTTGAGCGCACAAAACTGAGCAACAATTAGTGTGATATATGTGTTTTCCAGCACCCCACATGCAAGTCACTTAAGCGTGTTTACAGTCCTCCTTGCCAATCTTCTGGTACTTTTCCACAATGGGGAATATCAGGATGCTCTTCCTAGCTTATTTACCAATAGTAAGTTATACTTCTGTATCAATCTTTGGTTAATTATGTGTTTTTCTTTGGGACTGGGTATTTTGGGGGTGAAAAGGAACTTTGATTTTTTGGTCTTTCCCTTATTTCAGCTGAAAGAAGGAAGGAGTTTTCTATGTAGACTTCCTATATTGACTATCAAGCAACATTCAATCATTTTTCAGCAGTCCTGGCTAACCGGGGAGATTCCAGTTGTCCGGAGGTTAGAAAATGTGACTCCCATCTACCAGAAGGGCTGGAAGAAAGATCCATGGAACTGCAGGCCTGTCAGTTTGAACATGGTGTCGGGGAAGGTCACGAAGCAGATCCTCTTGAGTGCCATTACATGGCACATGCAGAACAACCAGGCCCAGTCAGCAAGGGTTTATGAAAGGCAGGTCCTGCTTGGCCCACCTGATCTCCATCCGTGACAAGATGACCTGCTTAGTGGATGAAGGAAAGACTGTGGATGTTGTCTACCTAGACTTTAGTAAAACCTTTGACACTGTTTCCCACAGGATTCTCCTGGAGAAGCTGATTGCTGATGGCTTGGATGGGTGTACTCTTCACTGGGGAAAAAACTGGCTGAAAGGCTGGGCCCAGAGAGTGGTGGTGAGTCTACTTAAGTCCAGTTGGTGGCCAGTCAGAAGTGGTGGTCCCCAGGGCTTGGTACTGGGGCCAGTGCTCTTTAACATCTTTATCAAACAATCTGAACAGGAACAGGATGTCATCCAGAGGGACCTGCACAGGCTGGAGAAGTAGGCTCAGGTAAACCTCATGAGGTTGAACAAGAGCAAGTGCAGGGTTCTGTACCTGGGCCGGAACAATCCTCGGTATCAATACAGACTAGGGGGTGAGGTATTAGAAAGCATCCCTGAGGAAAGGGACTTGGGGGTGTTGTTGGATGAGAAGATCAACATGAGCCGGCAACGTGCACTGGCAGCCCAGAAAGCCAACCTCATCCTGGGCTGCATCAAGAGAAGTGTGGCCAGCAGGTCACGGGAGGTGTTTCTACCCCTCTGCTTTGCTCTCATGAGACCCCACCTGGAGTACTGTGTCCAGCTCTGGAGTCCTCAACACAGGAAGGACATGGACCTGTTGGAATGGGTCCAGCCAAAGGCCACGAAGATGCTCAGAGGGCTGGAGCACCTCTCCTATGCAGACAGACTGAGAGAGCTGGGGTTGTTCAGCCTGGAGAAGAGAAGGCTCCAGGGAGACCTCATAGCAGCCTTCCAATATCTGAAGGGAGCCTACAGGAGAGCTGGAGAGGGACTCTGTCAGGAAGTGTAGTGACAGGACAAGGGGTAATGGTTTTAAATTGGAAGAGGGGATATTTAGATATTAGGAAGAAATTCTTTCCTGTGAGGGTGGTGAAGCACTGGAACAGGTTGCCCAGGGAAGTCGTGGATGCCCCATCCCTGGAAGTGTTCAAGGCCAGGCTGGATGAGGCTTTGAGCAACCTGCTCTAGTGGGAGGTGTCCCTGCCCATGGCAGGAGGGTTGGAACTCGATGATCTTTAAGGTCCCTTCCAACTCTAACCATTCTGTCGTTCTGTGAACGAGGGGATTGAGTGCACTTTCAGTAGTGTCATCCTGGCTTCTATTATAGTGTGGCCAGCAGGACTAGGGAAGTGATTGCCCCCCTATACTCAATACTGGTGAGGCCCCCACCTGGAATACTATGTTCAGTTTTGGGCCTGTCACTACAAGAAAGACATTGAGGTGCTGGAGCGGGTCCAGAGAAGGGCAATGACACTGGTGAGGGTCTGGAGCACAAGCCTTATGAGGAGAGGCTGAGGGAGCTGGGGTTATTCAGCCTGGAGAAAAGGAGGCTGAGGGGAGACCTTATTGCTCTTCACAACTCCCTGAAAGGAGGATGTAACAATATGGGGTTCGGTCTCTTCTCCCAAGTAACAAGCAATAGGACAAGAGGAAATGGCTCCAAGTTGTGCCAGGGGAAGTTTAGATTGGATATTAGGAAATATTTCACCACCAAAAGGGTTAACAAGAACTGGAACTGGCTGCCTGGGGAAGTGGTGGAGTCATGATTCCTGAAGGTATTTAAAAGATGTGTAGACATGGTGCTTAGGGACATGGTTTAGCAGTGGACTTGCCAGTGTTAGGTTAACAGTTAGACTTGATGGTCTTAAGGGTCTTTTCCAACCTAAATGATTCTGTGATTCTATGCCTTGTAATTTAAACTCACGGGAAGCAACTTCCACTGCTGCAGTTGATAAAGAAAG